AGAAGTTTTGTACCATGGGCAAATTTTGCCACCTCACTGTTTACCCCTTTTTCCTGATAATTTATGACTATATTGAATAGGACTGGTCCCAGTACAGACCCCTGAGGGACACCACTATTTACTCTCTCCATTCTGAAAACTGACCATTTATTCCTACCCTTTGTTTCCTATCTTTTAACCAGTTACCAATCCATGAGAGGACCTTCCCTTTTATCCCAGGGTAGTTTACTTTGCTTAAGAGCCTTTGGTGAGGGACCTTGTCAAAGGCTTTCTGAAAATTTCAGTACACTATTATCCACTGGATCCCACTTGTCCACATGCTTGTTGACCCCCTCAAAGAATTCTAGTAGATTGGTGAGGCATGATTTCCCTTTACGAAAAAAAACATGTTGACTATTCCCCAACAAATTATGTTAATCTATGTGTCTGACAATTTTGTTCTTTACTATAGTTTCAACCAGTTTGCCTGGTATTGAAGTCAGGCTTACTAGTCTGTAATTGCTGGGATCACCTCTGGAGCCCTTTTTAAAAATTGGCGTCACATTAGCTATCCTCCAGTCATCTGGTACAGAAGGTGATTTAAATGATAGGTTACAGACTACAGTTAGTAGTCCTGCAATTTCACATTTGAGTTCCTTCAGAACTCTTGGGTGAATACCATCTGGTCCTGGTGACTTGTTACTGTTTAGTTTATCAATTTGTTCCAAAACCTCCTCTAATGGCACCTCAGTTTGGGACAGTTCCTCAGATTTGTCACCTAAAAAGAATAGCTCAGATTTGGGAATCTCCCTCACATCCTCAGCCGTGAAGACCGATGTTAGCCCTTCTCCTCTGAAAATCATATTGTTTCCTCAGTGCGGGTGGGGGTTCTTGTGGGCGAGAGCTGCGCACAGCTGTTTGCGTGCCTCCACCTAGGAGCCAGACCTGCTGCTGGTCACTTCCAGGGCGCAGCGTGGTCTGCGGTGTCAGGACACCCCCCCAAACCTGGAACCCCTTTCTGCACCCCAAAGCCCTCATCCCTGGCTCCACTCCAGAGCCTGCATCCCCAGTCCAGAGCCCTGACTCCCTCCTGCACCCAACCCCCTGCCCCAGCCCAGAGCCCACATCCTGACCCCCTCATTCCCGGTCCCACCCCACAGCCCTCACCGCTGCACCGAAACCCTCTGCCCCAGCCCTGAGCCCCTCCCGCACCCCAAACCCCTCATCCCCAGCTCTATTGGGTCACGGGCATCAACAATTTTCTTCAACTGGATCACCAGAAAAAAAGTTTGAAAACCACTGACCTAGTTCACCCGTCTTATTATTTAGACTTCTAGCATTTGTATATAAGCACTTCAAAAAGTTGTCACTTTTTAGTTGTCTGCCATTATGATGCAATTGAATGGGACTTTTTTTTCATTTGACTCTTTCTCATCATATCCTACCTGTATTTTATCATCTTCCATCCTCTCCTCCTTATTAGGACATATGGAATCTCCATTAATAGATCCTCCCCTAAGGGAAGCCTCTGTCTGAACTACATGCTCCTCTACACCTGTCGGCTTTCCCTTAGTTTTAAACCTGCTCTACGACCTTTTTAATTTTAAGTGCCAGCAATCTGGTTCCATTTTGGTTTAGGTGGAGCCCATCCTTCCTGTATAGGTTCCCCCTTTCCAAAAAGTTTCCGCAGTTCCTAATAAATCTAAACCCCTCCTCCATACATCATCATCTCATCCACACATTGAGACTCTGCAGTTCTGCCTGTCTAACTGGCCCTGTGCATGGAACTGGAAACATTTCGGAGAATGCTGCCATGGAGGTCCTGGACTTCAATCTCTTACGTAGCAGCTTAAATTTTGCCTCCCAGACCTCTCTCCTATCCTTCTCTGTCATTGGTACCTACATGTACCACAACCACCGGCTCCTCCCCAGCACTACACATAAGTCTATCTAGATGTCTCGAGAGATCTGCAACCTTCACACCAAGCAGGTAAGTCACCATGTGGTTCTCCCAGTCATCGCAAACCCAGCTATCTATGTTTTTAATGCTCAAATAGCCCATTACTAATACCTATCTTTTCCTAATAACTGAAGTTCCCTCCCCTGGAGAGGTATCCTCAGTGCGAGAGGATACCACAACATCATCTGGAAGGAGGGTCCCAACAATGGGATCATTTCCTTCTGCTCCAGTTGGATGTTCTCCTTCCCTGGGACTTTCATCCTCCTCAACAGCACAGAGGCTGTCAGACGGGGGGTGGGACCGTTCTACTGTGTTCCAGAAAATCTCATCTATGTACGTCTCTGTCTTACTTACCTCCTCCAGGGCAGTCACTCTGGCCTCCAAAGCCCATACACAGTCTCTGAGGGCCAGGAGCTCCTTGCACCGAATGCACACATATGCTACCTGCCCATAGGGCAGGTAATCATACATGCTGCATTTGATACAATAAACTGGATAACCCCCATTCTGTTGCTGGACTTCTGCCTGCATTCTCTTTTTACTCCTGAAACTGGTTCCTTTGTTGTTGTTGTTTTTATCAGGGGGTGTTTTTGGCTTTATGTTTAAAGAATGTTAAGTGTATCTTGTCCCCTCTTATACTTCCCCTCACAACTCCTTCACAAAACTCCGACTAGCTGCTCCTGTTCACTAGTTGCTCTGGTCGCTTAGGAGCCGGCTTTTTAAAACCCTGGTCTTCCTGAGTAGCCCCACCCCCTGGTTAAGGGTTGATGGCTTGTAAAGGGCTTAGGGATTACAGCCTTGTGAAGAAGCTCTCAGCCTTGCCTAGCAGGCCGCTAGCCTCAGCACACGGTCTCCCAAACAAACAGACCACATGGTATATTTCAGTCAAGCAACAAGCACAGCACAAACACAAACACACACACTACAGACAACAAACTGACTCCAAGGGTCTTTGCACCATCTTTCCAGTACAATCACTGTGTATTTTAGTGCCTCCAGGCTTGGTTCCAGATTTATCCCAGACACCAGTTCATTGTTTACTGTCGTATCTCATAGTAGCTGGTGCAAAGTATGTGGATGCAGGCCTTCTAAAATTTGGTGGCTCATTTCAAACAAGTTCCAAAATATTTAGAAGCCTTTTTAAAGTTTGTGATTGTCTCTTCATTGTCACTTCTCTTCTCTCCAGGAAAGTCAGCTTTTTCTCCATTCCTGCCAATTTCATCTTCCTTTCCTTCAGACTCCCCTAATCCCTGTTTCTCTCCATCTGAATACAATCAGTTGATTCCCCATTCTCCTGATCGTATCTGACTACCAGTTCTCTAAGAAGATTATCTATACATTGAATTTTGAGTTAAGTCTTAACTTGAGGTCCCATTACTTTAATAAATGAATTATTGCCCTGTTATATAACTTGGTTGTGTTCTGGATTACATAGCTAGTGATTTGGAATTGGGGCCTTCTATATTTTTCCATCAATAAACTAAATGTAAAACAACTGTGCAAAAACATAAGACTGAGGGATGAATGAATAGAATAAAAATGCCTGGATTAAAAAATTTAACTGTAAAACCCCATGGGCAACCAAGAGGAGAGAGGATGAGCATGTCAGCCAAAAATCACATGACATGATAGTGGTAAGGAAGGAAATCTGAGAATCTGTAGCTTGTTTCCTGGCCTCAGGGAGAAGTAGGTCTCTCTGAACACTGGTCTTTTCATTTGTCATGCTACTTCTGTCAGTATAAAGAGAAATCATAATGTGATCACAGTGCCAAAGAGTCTTAAAATCAACAGCAAAGAAGCTTCAGCAAGACTCAGACCTTGAATGTCTTCCCTCTGACACTTGACTGTGAGGAACCAAGAAGTGTTCAGAGAATATAATTTGACCTTTCAAATATCTGCAGTACAAATAATTGAAGAATATTCAGTTTACTGGATAGACTCAAAGAGAATGGCTGCAAACACTGGAGAAAAGTGGTAGTAAACCAGGACTATTGCTAGAACATGATTCTCTAAGATCCTTAAAGTCTTCTGAGTGGTTTGAGCATTGGCCTGCTAAACTCAGGATTGTGAGTTCAATCCTTGAGGGGGCCATTTAGGGATCTGGGGCAAAAGTTGGGGATTGGTCCTGCTTTGAGCAGGGGGTTGGACTAGATGACCTCCTGAGGTCCCTTCCAACCCTGATATTCTATGATTCTATGAATCGAAGTTAAAGTATGTGATATTTGTCTTTATTTTTTTCAAAGGTGCAGTGATGAAATTGGCAATTAAGTATTACACCTGTATTACTGCTTATGTTTATTTAATTACAAAAGCAATTAAAAGACAAAAGTTTAATTCTGATCCAATGTCATTATCGTATCCCACTATGTTTAGATATTGTAGAATGAAAGATCATTGTTTGTTTTAAATCTCAAGCTACAAGCCCATATAATATATAATAGGGCGGTGAACCTGGTCTGTTCTTAATACCTTCAGTTCCCACGGGCTGCACTGGGAATGGAGGGCCCTCAGCACCTAAAAGGCAGCGTATAGCAACTGACAGGCCCAGGCCCAGGCCCAGGCCCAGGCCCAACTGGTCTAGGCAGAAAACAGCAAGTAAAAGATACTCTACCATTTCCTTGGTTTCAGAGGGGTATACATCAATATCAAGCAGTTAAATTTAGTGACTTTTAATTTGATGATGCTAACCCTCAAGCAGCTGAATAGCAGATAGCAAAGTTAATTACACTACTCTGAAACCTGTGATAGTTTTTAGTGTTGCTGTGTATTTTTTTTAAGCATTGTCCTGTCATATTAAAAATATTATACAAACTAAGCACAGGCAGCGCATGTGACTAAAAAGCTTTCAATATTAAAAGTCCAGTCTGTTTTATAACAAGTATTTTTCATATTGAAAAAGGCCTTAGTCCACATTAATCAATAACTCTAAGTAAAGTTCCATTTTTTTAAAAGTAGGCCATTTTGTCTAGAGATTTGCAAATGAGCAATCCTACAATGATTCACTGTTTGCTATTTTGGAAAAAGGTTTTTTTTTACTAGATAAGCTTCTTTACCACTGCAGAGCACTTTATCCCACAAACCCGAACCAGAAGATGCTTTCTCCATCCCCTGAGTACACTTCAAAGCAGATTTATCTAGAACCTAAATGGTAAGTGACTATAGCACAACCTAACTCATTTTAATGAAAAAAGAACAGGGTCAAAACAAATGTACACATTGACAGCATAGTGCTGTCCAGATTAGTTAAAATTTTGAAACTCTACAGTATATGGAAATTAGGGTGGGAATAACTGTTAAAATCCTTTTATGCTGCTCATTCATTCTCTATTTTTGAGGCTCATTATGGAAGAGTTTAATAGGGTTTGTGTCATACTCTCACTGCTCCTCTAAAAATGCTGATCTCCTGTTTTTCTTGTATGCTCGATTACTGTATTTTGCAGTATTTGCTGTGTTGGTCCCAGGATATTAGAAAGACAGGGTAGGAGAGGTAATATCTTTTATTGGACCAACTTCTGTTGGTGAAAGAGACAAGCTTTCGAGTTGTCACCTACAATCCCACACTGGAACCCATATGGGGTATCATTAAACAATTACAACCCATCCTTAATGGGGACCCCCTCCTGAAATAAATCTTTCCTGAATCGCTTCTTCTGGCCTTCAAATAACCTCCAGTCTCACCAAGCTCATTATTAGAAGCAAGCTCCCCACAGACCAGGACACACCAGATCAAAGCAGCACCAGACCCTGCGAAACCAACAGATGCAAAACACAAAGACATATTGCCACTGCTACAGTGATCAACACGGCCTGCCCAACTCACCTGTCAAGGTTCCTTCCCCACTCTGAACTCTAGGGTACAGATGTGGGGACCTGCATGAAAAACCCCCTAAGCTTATTTTTACCAGCTTAGGTTAAAACTTCCCCAAAGTACAAACTATTTTACCTTTTGTTCCTGGACCTTATTGCTGCCACCACCAAGCGTCTAACAAAAATAACAGGGAAAGAGCCCACTTGGAAACATCTTTCCCCTCAAAATCCTCCCAAGCCCTACACCCCCTTTCCTGGGGAAGTCTTGATAAAAATCCTCACCAATTTGCATAGGTGAACACCGACCCAAACCCTTGGATCTTAAGAACAATGAAAAAGCAATCAGGTTCTTAAAAGAAGAAAATTAAAGAAAAAATAGAAGAATCACCTCTGTAAAATCAGGATGGTCAATACCTTACAGGGTAATCAGATTCAAAGCATAGAGAATCCCTCTAGGCAAAACCTTAAGTTACAAAAGACACAAAAACAGGAATCTACATTCCTTTCAGCACAACTTATTTTATCAGCCATTTAAACAAAACAGAATCTAACGCATCTCTAACTAGATTGCTTATAAGCCCTTTACAGGAGTTCTGACCTGCATTCCTGCTCTGGTCCCAGCAAAAGACAACACAGACACAGAGACCCCTTGTTTCCCCCCCTCCAGCTTTGAAAGTATCTTGTCTTCTCATTGGTCATTTTGGTCAGGTGCCAGCGAGGTTGTCTTAGCTTCTTAACCCTTTACAGGCTAAAGGGTTTTTCCTCTGGCCAGGAGGGATTTAAAGGTGTTTACCCTTCCCTTTATATTTATGACACCCAACACACCTTTCAAGATTCAGGGGTCGTATCCATGTCTATCACGACAGGTGGTGTACTTCATCCAGTGCATTGAATGCTCCAATAACAACTATGGGGTGAAACTAGATGATCACTATGCTCTCAAATGAACTGTCACAGGAAAATGATAAAAGACAAAAACACCATATTACCTGCAGGTGAACACTTTCCACAAAATGATCACCCCCTATTTGAGCTCTCAGTCCTCATCCTCAAAGGAAACCTGTACAACACTTTCAAAAGATGAGTCTGGAAGCTTAAATTCATAACTTTGCTAGACACTAAAAATCATGGCCTTAATAAAAACACTGGATTTATGTTTTATTACAACAATCTGTAACCCACTAATCCCCCTTTTTTGTTTTATTGCTGCAGCAGTGTTAATGGCCTACTTCCCCTGGGAGGGTCCCTTAGACTATGTGTTAACTACTTATGCTAAACAATCCATTCCACCTTTTATTTAGCTGTGACACTCTTGAGTACCTTTCCCAGACCAAGAAGAGCTCTGTGTAAGTCAAAAGCTTGTCTCTTTCATCAACAGAAGTTGGCAAAGATACTGCTTCACCCACCTTGTCTCTCTATTACTGTATTGTTACTTCCACGAGTGGAAAAAAAAAGTTTAACTAGGCTCTAAAGTGTACAGATTTCACTTCCCCTGACCTCCTTCAATTTAACATCCAAGTGGACATGACTTTTCTCTGTAACATCCTACTGTGGTGTGAAAAATACCAAAATACCCACATGAAATATACTTGACTTGGAAATACTTGAGTATGACTCTCTGATTACAAGTACAAGTCATACCAAGGTGCTGACCCACAAAACAGGCTAAGAATTGGTCAAGCTCATTTATTGTTTCAGTTTTAACTAAGTTATGTAGTGAGGGCAAACTCTGATGAATTTTAAAAATTTATTTAAATATGTGTGTGCTGCTGTAGATCAGAGCATGGAACATAGGAATTGCTAGTCTGGATCAGACCCAAGATCTATCTTGTCTAGTATCCTGTCTCTCAAGTGACCAGTACCATGTGCTTCAGAGGAAGATGTAAGAACCCTCCAGTAGGGAGTTGGGGGATAATCTGCCACTCTGTTATCCTCAAAAATAGGCTCTTGGGGGCCCCCTACAATAACCTGCCTATTGCCCCCTTAATCTGTCTTTCCTGAAGCATGGGTCTCCAGGGTAGTTAAGGAAACACTTGAAGGACACAGATATAACCTTCCGATAAAATGATTGACACAGGCAGTATTTTTCCCAAAAACAAAGTATCTTTTTATTAATGTAACTAATAATTCCTAATACAACATCATCTAAAACCATGAATCAGGCACAAATCCCTTATTGCAAGTTAAAGAGCATTCAAACCGCACTAGTATACAGTTTAAATGATTTTAAGAGTGAGCACTCTGTCACAGATGGCCAGTCTGTAACAGATGGCTGACAGGAGTTCTTAAATTGTACTTTAAGTTTCACATAAGTAAATTACAATTAACATTAACACACTTACACATCACACAGATACACATACTAATGCTATACTGCACTATTCTATATTAATATTATAATTAAATAATAACTAGCAGGCTTGCTTACTCTGGCCGTTGACTTTGCCTCAGTGAGAGGACTCCCCCTGTTGCTGCCACTTAGTCACTGCCACTGCCGTTGCTGCTTCTTCAGGTCTGCCGCTGCTGTTACCATTGCTTCTTCAGCTATCAGCTTGGTCAGATCTCTTCAGCAGCTATACGCTTCTTCTGTCCTCTTGGAACTCCCTCTATCTCATGCAGTTCTTGCTGGCTCCTAACTGAAAACTATATGCTGACTGTCTGCCTTTTATACTATCAGACCTCTATTGAGCATGCTCTCCAGCATGCTCAGCATACCTCCTTCCAGTTTACCACACAGGATCATTACTACCAGAAAAAACAGCCTCAAACCAGTCCAGCGTGGAGCTGTTCGATCTCTCTCTACCTTTGTATCGCGCATGCTCATTTGAAGCATTACCTCATTCTCCACATGCTCACTGCCATTGTTTTTACCTCAGAGCCATGATTTCCTCATCCGACTTTACTGCCTATTCTCCAGATCTAATCTGCTTCTTAGCCATACCTCATTTAGTAACCTACATTCTAGTGGGCATGCTCAGCCCAGGAATGCTCATGGCCATACCTCATTTTACTCTCAGCTCTAGTTATGTGATCTACAACATCCAATGGTAAGTTTTCAATTGGTGAAGTGACTCCTGCTTATATGGAATGGAAGCTAGGAACACAAATTGGAGTCTGAAGGAGTCTGGGAAATTTTTCCCATATCAACCTACATTAGATCTCATTCTGATCTCTAATAGTTATTGGTTAGCTTAAACTCTGAAGCATGAGATTTAATATCTCTTACAAATATTTTTGCTATTGTTAATATTGATAAAACTGGATATTCTTGATATTAAAAAAAAATCCAACCCTTCCTTTTAAATCTTGTTATATTCTTGGCCTCAACAACTTCCATTGGCAGTGAGTTCCACGTCTAATTACACATTGTGTGAAAAAGTATTTCCTTGTATTGGTTTGGAACTTCCTAACTTTTAAATGTCTGCTTGTTCTTATATTATTATGAGAGAGGAAATCTACCTTCCCTTGATCAGTCATTACATTTACATATTTTTATTTGGTACCCTCAATCTTATTGGTCTCTTCTTTTCAATTTCTCTTAATATGAGAGTTCTTCCAAGCCCTTGATAATCCTCTTGGCTTTTCTCTGAACCTGTTCTAATCCTGCAGTATCCTTTGGCATAAGGGGTGAATGTATTACTGATGAGGGTACCTCACTGATTTATATAAAGGCATTGTAATATCCCTGGGCGATGCTCTGGAACTGCTCCCCATGAAGCCAGTCAGGACTCTGGGGCAGTCGCCTTTCTGTGAGCAGCCTGTCTTCAGGACACACAGCTCACCCAGCTTCCACCTTCCTGGGTCTGACCTCGGAGCATTCAGCATCCTCTGCCCCTCCGTGCGCTTCCCCCCAGCGAGTCCGCTCAGGCGGGGCTCCTGGGGGGAGCCAGAGGGTCCTGCACCCCAACTTCGCAGTCAGACGTGACTCTCAGCCAGCCAGTAAAACAGAAGGTTTATTAGACGACAGGAACATGGTCTAAAACAGAGCTTGCAGGTGCAGAGAATGGGACCCCTCAGCTGGGTCCATTTTGGGGGGCAGTGAGCCAGACAACCACGTCTGCACTTCACTTCATGTCCCAGCCAGCCCCAAACTGAAACTCCCTCCAGCCCCTCCTCCTCTGGGCTTTGTTCCTTTCCCGGGCCAGGTGGTCACCTGATTCCTTTGTTCTCCAACCCTTTAGCTCTCACCTTGCAGGGGGGGAAGGGCCCAGGCCATTAGTTGCCAGGAAACAGGGTGTCGGCCATTCTCTGTGTCCAGACCCCTGCACACACCTGCCCTCTAGGGCTCTGCAATGATCATACACCCTTACCCCACCACCTAGATACTTAAGAACTGCATAG